ATATAAGTCATCATAATCATTAAAACACTCTTCAGAGAATGTTTTATTTTGTATTTCAGTTCCATTAAAACAACCCTTTTCATACTCAATTTTATTAACATCACTCACTTCCATTTGAGCTATTGTACAATTGTAAATAGCATTTTTTTCAATCACTCTCACACTTTTTGGTATAGAAATCTTCTTGATATTCATACTATTGAAACAGTATGAAGCTATTCTTGTTACTCCTTCTTGGATATTGAAATTTTCTTCCTCTTCATTAATATCATCATGAATTAAGCAGCAATTATCACAAACAACACCTTCCTCTTTCAGTAATGAATATATCTTATATCTTATTTTACCTTTCATTTCTTGCAGTCCTTGTACATCTATTTTCATTAACTTAGAGCAATTAAGAAAAGACTTTGGTGAGATAGAATGAAGGTTATTTGAAATCTTTATTCTGGTTAATTCAAGACAATCATCAAAACATCCTTTTGATATTTCTTCGACATTTTTTGTATCAATCAGTTCAATGCTTCTACACCCTCTAAGAAAGTAATTTGGTAACTTCATTAGTTGTTTGGATAATGTGATTGAAGTAAGACTATCCATGTATTGAAATGCCATAGACTTTATTTCTGTGACTGTGGATGGGATATTGATTTCTCTAATTGAATATTCTCTCATAAATACATTCTTTTCAATTACTTCAACACCATCTGGTATTGATCCTTGATACTGAATTTGGTCTTCTTTACAATAACAGTCTTTGCTAGAACAAACCTTTTGATGGTTATGAATCAGTGCTCGAATAAAATGTGGGATTTGTGTCTTCAATGGGGTTTGACTGTTATACTCAATTATTGAAAGTCTTGGACACTCACAGAATGACCATTCACCTATGGAAGTGATTTTATCACTAAATATGACTTTGCTCAAGTTGTTACAACAAAAGAAACAATGATTTCCAATCTTTTCAACTTCGCTCAGATCAATTGACTCAATTGTGCTTGTCTCAAAACTCCCATCTCCTATTTCAACACACCCACTACATAACTTCCAATCATTTTGTTGAATGCCAACTTTACTCATTCGCTTTTCAGTAATAATTATACCAACCTCTTCAAAGACTTGTGACAATTGATAATCCATTCTTGTTGGTATTATTTTATTTCCAGTATTAGAAATATGTTGAATAGAGTCACACATCTTAAAACTATCTCTCCCTATCTCAGTCAGGAATGACGAAATTGTCAATGATGTAAGTTGAGAGCACATACTAAAACAATTATCACCAATCTTCTGTATATTCTTCAAGTCTATTTCTTTCAATGCAAAGCAGTTCATAAAACATCTGTCTGGAAGTGTTTTGAGTTGAGTTGATAGAACAACCTCTTTTGTTCTCATAGGAAAGTGAAATCCATCTCTTATTTCTCTAACTATAGAAAAATCAAATTTCACATGTCTTTCTTCTAATAACAAGTTTTGATCAATAATGTTAACAACATGAAATTCACTTGGTTTTAAATATCCTTCTCTGTTCTTTACTTGTAAACATTTCCACTCTCCACTTCTTTTTTGAATCTCATTATATTCATCAATAGACATTTCATATTCACACAGATGAAAACCTACATTCAACACAATATCATCTCGATGGTAATGATGTTGGGTATGGATATTTGGAAAGAATTTCTCCATTCCTTGTGTAATTGCA